TCCTTCCAGCTCTAAAGGCTGTTTCCACATCTGAAAAACAGGGATTACAAAACCCCCAAATGGTTAAGTGACCAGGCTCAATTCTAGACAACTGGAATCCAAGCCTGTTGGTGATGGCTTGTTGCCCTGGGTTTCTTTCCTTCTGCATCAGGAGGAAAATTAAGGGTCCCCAGCAGGAAGCTCCCAGGTAAGCCAGTTATGGGCATATATGGTCATAAAGTGGTATAATGGACATTGGAAACTAAGAAAAGAGGAGTGTGGGAGGGGGTGAGGGATCAAAAATTATCTATGGGCACAATGTACACTATCCTGGTGGCATGTACACTAAAAGCCCTGACTTCACCATTATATAATTTATCCACATAACAAAAAGCACTTGTACCCCCTAAATCTATTGAAATAATAATAAAAATAAAAAGACAAGGTCTGTCTCTGTCACCCACACTGAAGTGCAGTGGTATAATCGTAGCTCAATGAAGCCTGGAACTCCCGAGCTTTGATTCTCCTGCCTCTTCCCCCCAAGTACCTGGGACTACATGTGTACACCACCACACCAGGCTAATTTTTTTTTTTAAGAGATAGGGTCTCTCTATGTTATCCAGAATGGTCTCAAACTCCTGGCCTCAAGTGATCCTCCTGCAAGTTTATTAATTTGAATTTTTTGTCAGATAACACAAACAACTCTATTTTAAGAGTTGATTTCTGGATATTTATTTCATTCCTTCTAGCAAAAAAAAAAAAAAAAAAAAAAAGACTTGGCTGCTAAGTGTCCCATGGCTATCCAGGGGCTCTGAGTTCTGATCTAGGTCCCTGGAATGACAGGAGGTGAAAGGTCACAGACTGTGGTTTTTCTAGCTACAGATGGCAACATCTACACAGTCCATTCCAGAGTCACCTGCTCAGCTTCCTGGCTAACTTGCTACCTGTTCCATTAGGTCTGTGCATTGGTCTATGCAATGCCAGCTCTGTGCTTAGCTGCCAAACTCCAACTCAGTCAGCTCCAGCTCTACTACTTGTCTCACTGCCTTCTGGAAAGTCTCCTGGGAGGGTGGATACCTGGCTCTTTTTGCAGATTCCAACCTTGCTTTCCTCCAACCTTGCTTTCCTCCTTACTCATTCAATAAATGTTTGCTAAGCACTTAATATAGGCTCTAGGCCATGCCTTCACAGAACCCATGCACTAGTGGATGAGACAAAGCTCTAGCTAGATACTTGCATGATATATACCAGCTAAAGAAACCTGGGAGGCTATAGGAGTCCAAAAGGGATCTAACTCATTGTGGAAACTAGGTAAGACTTCCAAAAGGAGGCAATATCCAAGTGAAAACCTTGAGTTTCAGCAGGATTTAGCCAAGTATGCTAGGGTTCATTCTCCCCTTCTTCCTGACCAATAGCACTGTCCCCAGTTGGAAATATTTGCCCCACCCAACCTCCAGGCTACTAGAGTGCTGGTGACATTCTATATTTTGACCTGGGTTTCAGTTACATGGATGCATAAATTTGTTTAAAAATAATAATTTAGGTGTAACTTCATATTTGTGCACTTTAGTATAAGAACATTATATTTCAATTTTTAAAAGTAAATTAAAAATTTAAAAACTTGTTCCTAGGCTCCCTTGCAGCTAAGCATGGCCATGTGACCCAGGACTGGCCAATCAGAAGTAAAGGAAAGTCTACTAGAGGGGCTTTCTGGAGAGCTATTGTTTTCCTAACTAATCAGACAGATTCAGCCTTTTGTACATCATCCATTTACCCTGTGTGGTTCCTGGAGCATGGCGGATGCAGCCAGAAGAGCCATCTGGCATCCTTGAGGACAGTCCTAGTTAGGTCCCATCCAAACAAATCTTGAGATAAAGATTCATATTTTTATACAATGACTTGGAAATGTTTCCAGGAAAAATGGGTATAGGAGTAGAGAAGTGCACCAGGAGGAGAAGAGGCCAGCAGTCGTACGACATCAAGTGAAGTCCCACAGGGCAGTCCTAGAGACAAGTGTAGGTGGGACACATAAATTCCCAGGGACTTTAGGCTCTCGCTGTGTGCAGCCGAAGCAGGCTCTAGCAGCCTCTGGGAAGCCCCAGATACTAGCTGTCAGGAGGAAAAGTACTCAGGAGCCAGAGTACACAAAATGGGTAAAAGATGCCCAGGGGGGTATGGGTAAGGATGAAAGACACACAAGAATGGTGAAGGAGGAAGTTACATGGAACCGCATCTTCAATGCCATTCATGGCAGCTGCACCTGCTCTGGCCTGCCCCCAAAAAGTAAACTCCTCTCTAGTAAAGCCATTGTGTTTCAGTTTCTGTTCCTGCAGCTAAATTAAATTCTAACTGATACACCCGGTAAACAAAAGGCAGGAAGAGTTGTTCACAGAGAGGGAATAGCATGTGTTGAAAAGTAGATGTTGTCCCCATTTTACAGATGAGGAAAGTAAGGATCCAAGGAGACACTTGGCCCAGGATCACTCACACAGCAATTTAGTGGCAAAGGCAGGATTCAAACCCAGTGTATTCATCATACGTTGCTGTGTAACAAGTTGCCACAAATGTAGCAGCTTAAAACAACACACAGTTATTTACTACCTCACAGTTTCTGTGGGTCAAGAGTCCCGGGTCCTCTGCTTCGGGGTCTCTGCTTCACAAGGCTACAATCAAAGGGCCGGCCAGGGTGGGAGTCTCATCTGAGCCTCAATTGGAGAAGGATCCACTTTCAAGTTAACATGGCTGTTGGCAGAAATTCAGTTCCACAAGTGCTCATGGAATACCACAGTCCCTAGCTGGCTGTTGGCTGGAAGTCACCCTCATTTCCTTGCCTTTCCAGCATAGCAACTTGTTTCATCAAAGCCAGCTGGAAGTCACAAGCTTAAGTAACCCAATGACAAAAGTGACATTTCATTACGTTTGCTACCATTCTCTTCATTAGAAGCAAATCAGTAAGTCCTGCCCACATGCAAGGGGAGGGGATTACACAAGGGCATGGAAGCCAAGAGGCCGGCACCACAGGGAGACAGTTTAGAAGTTGGCTACTACACTCATCTCAGCTTAATTCTAAATATATCTGTTTTCTGCAACATCAAGCTTATTCTTCAGGTAAGACCCCCCATGGGTTCAAATGACCATTCCTGGCCAGGGACTGAAGGAGAATTTGGGGGACAGCCTATCCATGGGTTATAAAGGACATTGACAGCCCTTTAGCCCCAGATACCCACAATGCCCCTCTTCCCACTTCTATGACTCAGAATCATCCAGAATTTCGTTTACCGCCCACAACATGATCTGAGGATGAAACCAGATCCTGGTCCCGTTCTCATCTGCCCTTGGGAAATAGGACTGTCTTTTCCCTTTTTGGAAACCACCTCTCCGGCTCCAGGAAGAACGCCTGAGTTTTAGGGGTAGCCAAGGCTGCAGACAAAGTCCTGGGCCAGGAAATGGGAGACCCGCTTCTCTGCTGATCTACCTCAGTTTCCCTGTTGGTAAAACGAGGGAGTTGGGCAAAATGATCACAAAGCAGCTTCCTGCTCTAACCTCTTACTTTGAAGAGAAAGGCTCTAGGTTGTGCTGATCAGTATGGTAGCCACTAGCCACAGGTGGCTAATGAGCACGTGAAATGTGACTAGTCCAAGCTGAGATTTGCTCTAGGTGAATGTGGTAGGCAGGATTCTAAGATAACCTCCAATGACCCTCACCCCTGTATAATCTCTTTCTCTTCGAGCATAGGCGGAAGCTGTGAAAGTGTGTTACACACGGCAGAAGGGAGACAGCCCTGGGTGGGCCTGGCCTAATCAGGGGAGTCCTTTAAAAGGAGAGATTTTCTCTGCCTGGTTACAGGAGTTGGAAGGCAGCACTCTGGCTTGCCTGAAAGAAAGTCCGTCCTGTGAACTGCCTCTGGGGCCATGTGGCAAAAAATGTCTGGGGACTGCTGGGATCTGAGATTGATTGCCAGCCGGCAGCTAGCAGGAAAAGGGAGACCTCAGTCCTACAACCACAAAGAAATGAATTCTGCCAATGGTCTGTGAGCTTAGAAGAAAACCCCAAACCCCCGATGAGAACCTCAACCCTGGCCGAAACCGTGGCCTTAGCCTGGTGAGACCCTTTGTAGAGAATCCGCCCGTGCTCTGCCCAGACCTCTGACCTCTAGAAACCGTGAGATGATAAATTTGTATCGTTTGAAGCTGCTAGATTGGGGTAATTTGTTATGCAGCAATAAAAAACTAGTACACTGGATTTCAGAGACTTAGTATAAAAATGAAAATGTAAAATATCTCATTAATAATTTCTTTACTGAGTCCATGTTGAAATTATAATCTTTTGGATCTATAATATTTTGGTTAAAGAAAATATATTATTAAAAATGATTCCAGCTGTTTCTGTTTACTAGCTTTAATGTTACTATCAGAAATTTTAAATTATATATGTGGTTCACATTAGACTTATTGGACGGTGCTGGCCTAGAGGCCTCAGAGATCATGACCTCGGGCAAGTCACCCTGCCTCTCCAGGCCTCACATTGCTTATCTGTGAGATAGGAATGATATATTTGCGGGTTGAATGAGATGAGGCCTATACTTGGCACAAGATAAGCGCTCAATACGTGTTGTTAATTATCACCATTAACAATATTTGTGAAGCCTTGTGTCTCTAATACCCTCCCCCCAGCCAGGCACACAGTAGCCACGCAATACGTAAATGCTTGGGGATTACACACCTTTACGAAGCTCTTTGGCGCAGCTCTCCTTTGCCCTCACAACCCACTTGGAAGGTGGGAATCAGGGATCCCTGGGCAGGTGAGGACGCTGAGCTTCAGGGGACAAAAGGACCCATTTCAGGCTTCACAGTTCACCTGGGAAGAGGTAGGACTTGAGCTGGCTTGGGCACAGCCGGGGGAGCCCCAGGGAGATGAAGCCACTTTCTACAACTCACTTACTGAGCCCTCCCCTTCGCAGTCTGAGCGAGTGACTGGGCCTCATCTGTAAAATGGGGGGGAGGGGCATAAGAGCCTGTCCCTGTCTACTCTGTGTCGGGAATCACTGAGATAGGTCACCTGCCGCAGATGAGGCACCCGGCACATACTAAGCACTCAGTTAAGCAAACCGCACCGCTGTTCCTTTGCCAGACAAGCCTCAGCTGAAATCCCTCTGTAGGGGGATCCCCGTCGCCTAAGCGCGCCCTCCTGCCCGGGACCCTGACTCGGGAGGATGCCCTGGCTCTTGGGACCGGGCTCCAGACACCACTACCACCCAATCAAGTCAAGAATAGAAACCACCGCCTCCGGCTGCCCGCGGCCTCCCTCCCTCCCCCGGCAGCGATCGATGCGTCCTCAGCGGCGGGGACGGAGGCGGACAAGGAGCAGGGAGGAGGGTGCAGCGGGGCCTCAGACAGCAGCGGGGCCGCCGGGACAGAGAAGAGCCCGAGCACAGCCAGGGGCTCCCCAGCCTCGGCGCTTTCGGGAACACACGCACAGGGCGCCCCGGAGGGCCCGCGACAGGTAAGGGGCCTCCTCGGAGAGGGGCGTGGTCCGGGCAAGGTCCCAAGTGGGAGCCGGCGCTGCCTGGAGTTCCCGGTGCTCTGTTCCGGTCTAGGAGAGCCCCCCAAGGACGGAGCGATGTGGGGGGCAGGCTCTGGGGAGAACCAACCGGTCCTGCTTGCTCATCTGTAAAATGGGAGCAGCAAACCTCCCTGGCAGGGTTGGTGTGGGGATTAAACAGAGTGCGGCGTGTACAAAGCCCAGTCAAGCGACTGGCAGGTAGCAGGTGCTCAAAATAAGTGTGTGGAAAGAGTCTCGAGTCAAAAAGCCTGGTCTCCAGCCTTATTTGTGCCATGGGCTAGCTGGGTGATTTTGAACAAGTCACTTGATCTTTCTTACTGATATTCAGATTCTCGTCCGGAAATGTTTGGTGAACTAATTAACCCATTTCATAGAGCAGGAGAGTGAGTTCCAGACAGAGGAAGGGATTTGCCCAATGTCATGCTTCTAGTGGGTGACGGAACTGGATTAGAAAGTTCATCTCCAATGTCAAATCCAGGTGGAGGTGGGAGTGGGGCTGCAGAACACACATAGTTATGTGCACAGGTTGTGTGCCAGGGCCTGTGCTGCCCATAAACATCTTGCATCATTTAATCCTCCTGGCCTCTCATGGGCAGTATAGTGTTGCCCAGGGTACAGAGGGGGAAACTGAAGCCCAGAGAGGGCAATGAGCCACTCAAGGTCAGCAGCTAGTAAGTGGCAGACTCGGAATCCAGACGCAGGTCTGACCAGAGGGAAGTACAAAGGGTCAATGCTTATTGAGCACCTACTGAGTTCCAGGGTTTTGCACACATACAGTAACTGTTCATCCAAAGTGCCATTATCTCCATTCTCTTAGAGGTAAGAGAGTTAAAACCCAGAGCAGGCAAGAGACTGGCCTCAGGTCACTCAAGTGACAGAGCTGAGGACCAGCTTAATACCAAGCCCAGGGTAAGTGAAGGGCATTTGGGCTCCCTGCCAGGTACTGGGCTGGCTTGATGCATACTTGATCCTCATCCACCCAGGGAAGTAGGCATTACTGAACCCACAGTGCAGATGACATTACCACGGGTCAGGATGTGAGTCAAGTCACTAGCCCTCAATTCCAGCAGAGCCAAGAGTCAGTGGGCAGTGGAAAGACCTGAGTCCTTCCTGAGTATCCACTAAGGCCGAGCACTGTCCATACCCTACCTTAATCCTCCAGCCGTCCCTGTGGGGAGGAACTTATGTCTGCGCCGAGCCTTGTGCAGGAAAGCGAGTCTGGAGAGTGAAGAGCTTCCTCAAGGCCCCAGGTGCATCAGGTGTGCATATAAACCTGGTTTGCCTGACTCCAGAAGACAACGACGCAGGTGGATGATTTCGTAAACCCCGTGAGCCAGGCCCAATAAATATATTAGGTCATTTAATGTTTTTAACCACACTTAGAGGTGGGTATTTTTATCTCTGTTTGACAGACTCAGAAAGGTGGTGTGACACTCCTAAGGTCACACAGGAGAGCCAGGGCTCAATGTCAGGTCTAACTCTACAGATGCTCTAACTCTACAGTGGCTCTCTAACTTGACTGTGTACCCAAATCACCCTTGAAGTGAGTTAAAACACACTGCTGGACTCCCACCCCCAGAGTTTCTCGTTCAGTAAATCTATGGCAGGCTGAGAATTTGCATCTTTCACAAATTTCCAGGTGATGCTGATGCTGCTCGTGCGGGGAACACACTTTGAGAACAACTGGTCTAAACTGATCCCCCCAGCTGCCCCTGATGGTAAGTATTAACATCCCCATTTTGCAGAGGAGGAAACTAAGATTCAGAGGGCCGGCATGTCCGAGATCCCACCGTAGACTTCTGGTGTGCTTATCCAAGTTTGTTGGGGAACAGGAGACAGACACCCTATATGGGCAGCCACCAGGTGCCAGGACATCCTGCCATTCCGTTGCTTTCATTGTCCTTCGAGGTAGATCTCAGCATTTGTTTTCCACAGAAGAAAAATGAAACGGGCATGCGGAGGGTCACTGATTTGGCCAAAGCGCCCCCGTTGGGGTTGGGGGATATTCAAGTCCAGGCCTGACTCTGAGTCCAGAGGGCGCTTGACACCTGCCGAGCATTTACCGCATACCAGGTACTTGAGAGCCTCCAGCACGCCCTGGCTGGTGGAGGGAGCAAGATATTTTAACGTGCTTTTCCTGGACGGGAGGCCCGGGGACTCCTCCTCAGCGCGCCCCTCCGGTGTCCGCAGGTGGGAGCACTGGAGCCACGGTGAGCGAGCCCCCGGTGCCCGACTCCGGGGTGCCCGACCCCGGGGTCCCCTGGCGGCGGAGCGACGAGGCGCTGCGCGTGAACGTGGGCGGCGTGCGGCGGCGGCTGAGCGCGCGCGCCGTGGCGCGCTTCCCGGGCACGCGGCTGGGCCGCCTGCAGGCCGCGAGGTCGGAGGAGCAGGCGCGGCGCCTGTGCGACGACTACGACGCGGCGGCGCGCGAATTCTACTTCGACCGGCACCCGGGCTTCTTCCTGAGCCTGCTGCACTTCTACCGCACCGGCCGGCTGCACGTGCTCGACGAGCTGTGCGTCTTCGCCTTCGGCCAGGAGGCCGACTACTGGGGCCTGGGCGAGAGCGCGCTGGCCGCGTGCTGCCGCGCGCGCTACCTGGAGCGGCGCGTGACGCGGCCGCGCGCCTGGGACGAGGACAGCGACACGCCGAGCAGCGTGGACCCGAACCCCGACGAGATCTCCGACGTGCAGCGCGAGCTGGCGCGCTACGGCACTGCGCGCTGCGGCCGCCTGCGCCGCCGCCTCTGGCTGACCATGGAGAACCCGGGCTACTCGCTGCCCAGCAAGCTCTTCAGCTGCGTCTCCATCGGCGTGGTGCTCGCCTCCATCGCCGCCATGTGCATCCACAGCCTGCCCGAGTACCAGGCCCGCGAGGCGGCGGCCGCCGTGGCCACGGTGGCCGCGGGCCGCAGCGCGGAAGACGTGCGCGACGACCCGGTGCTGCGACGCCTCGAGTACTTCTGCATCGCCTGGTTCAGCTTCGAGGTGTCGTCGCGCCTCCTGCTGGCGCCCAGCACGCGCAACTTCTTCTGCCACCCGCTCAACCTCATCGACATCGTGTCGGTGCTGCCCTTCTATCTCACGCTGCTGGCCAGCGTGGCGCTGGGGGGCAACAGCCACGGCGGCACGGGTGGCGAGGAACTCGGCCACCTGGGCAAGGTCGTGCAGGTGTTCCGCCTCATGCGCATCTTCCGTGTGCTCAAGTTGGCGCGCCACTCCACCGGGCTGCGCTCGCTGGGCGCCACGCTCAAGGTAGGACTCTCGGAGGCCGCGTTGGGGCGGAGGGAGGCGGGTGCAGCCACCGGGCAGGTTGGCAGGTAGACTTACAAACCTGCCACGTCCAGGCGCACATTGAACTGAGATGCAGTCCCGTGTGCCAGGCACAGGGCTAGATGCCAGGTGTACAGTTTCCCGTCTGGGCTGCCCTTCCCAACAGCCCTGTAGGGAAGAGCTCACTGTTCCCTGTATTTCCCAAGGAGAAAATTGAGGCGTAGCTTTGCTTGTCTTTCCTTTCCAAAACAAACAAAAACAAGACAAAGGTCACTTTTGATATATCAAAATATATGTCAAACGTAACGCGTAGCACACAGATGTGCAAAGCAGGATGCTAACTGGCTTCTCTCCCAGAGCCTTTCTTCTGGCATTATCGCGGGCACAGACAGTCATAGGTCTCCCTTAATGGGCACAGTCTGGAAATAGCCCCCACACTAATACTGAGCCCTAACTCTGTGCCGGTTTCACATCCATTATCAATTTAGCCCTTAGGACAACTTCCTCAGGAAGATGCTATTATTTATTCTCTTCCCGTAGACGGAGAAGCTGAGGTTGGAGGGCTGGCTTTTAAAAGCCTGGCTGCAGTTTATTGAGCACCGTCCTTGTGCCAGGCGCTGCGCCGGGGGTGAACCAGCGCCCGGCAAGCTTACACTCGAGGCAGGGAACTCAGCCTGCTTTGGGGAGGGAGGCAAGGTGAACAGCTTGTGCCAATGCTCTCTGGGCCTCAGTTTCCCCATATACCCAGTACAAGGCCTGTAAACCCAGCCAGCTCTGATTTGGGTTCCTACCTTCCCTTTCAGCACAGCTACCGGGAGGTGGGCATCTTACTGCTGTACCTGGCCGTGGGCGTGTCGGTGTTCTCCGGCGTGGCCTACACAGCTGAGAAGGAAGAGGACGTGGGCTTTAACACCATCCCAGCCTGCTGGTGGTGGGGCACAGTGAGCATGACCACCGTGGGCTACGGGGACGTGGTGCCGGTGACATTGGCTGGCAAGCTGGCGGCGTCGGGCTGCATCCTAGGGGGCATCCTGGTGGTAGCGCTCCCCATCACCATCATCTTCAACAAGTTCTCCCACTTCTACCAGCGCCAGAAGGCTCTGGAGGCAGCCGTGCGCAACAGTGGCCACCGAGAGTTCGAGGACTTGCTGAGCAGTGTTGACGGGGTGTCAGACGCGTCTCTGGAGACATCCAGAGAGACCTCTCAGGAGGGAAGGTCTGCAGACCTGGAGGCTCCCAGTGAGTCTCAAAAGCCACAGATTTATTAAAACCAGGGCTCCATGACCCCTTCCCCTGCCCCTGCAGTCAGCTGGAACGGAGCAGAGATTCCTCCCCTCTTAAGTTTTTCGTGGTAGTGAACCTCTCATGCTGGCCTGAGAAATGAGACTCAGAAGCTGCATACCTTCCTCCCAAGGCCCGGGGCAGGAGATGGTGATACCTAGATTCTGCGAGATTCTGAGAGCAGCCTGGAAGCCGTCCATGAAGCAGGCATGAGCTGGAGGGACAAAGTCGAAAGGATGCCAGTGATTCCTGAGCACCTCCTATATATTCGCCAGTGGTTGGCCCTGTGTTGGTTGGAGGATGAGAATTATCCCCATTTCACTGAGGAGGAAGCTGAGGCTCAGAGGAGCAATGACTCACCCAAACCCACACAATAGAAGGGGCAGAGTCAAGTTTGGAATCCAGGCTTGTTGGCCTGCTGGAACCAGTGCTCCATCAACCCCCTCTTTCTTCTGACCTCATGAGGTTTGCATGAGGTTTTAGGGGGTTCCTGGATCCCCAAAGTTGATCCCTAGGGTGAGAGGCCCCTTTCAGAGTAAGAGAAAGGACCAAACAGGAGATTTGGATGAATGACACCTGGACCTCAGCTATGGTTCTTTTCTAGAAACTTCTGTCAAGAGTCAGCTGTCAAAGATGAGTCTCGGGAGGGAGAAGGGAACTGCCTCTTCAGCTGATGTGCAAGATGTGCTAAGCAATACTGTCCCGCACCTGCCTCCCAGGGCTGACTTGACTTAAAGAAAATCCGAAAGGGCTCGAGGCCTCAAGTCTGGACCCAGCTGCACCAGGACCTGCTGTGTGAGGTGGGCCACTCCCTGCCCGTCTCCAGATTCCAGCCCATCTGTCTAATGGTCACAGTCTATGACCCAGAGTGAGAAGAAAGCTAAGTGGAGCAGAGGGGACACTGAATTCAAGCCAGCCCAGCTCAGAAATGTTGGTGGCAGGGGGTCTGCCATGCATGGACACCTGCCTCCCACACCCCTCCAGTCTGACTTTGGCAGTTCCCTCCTGCCCACCACACAGACCCCCAGCCCTGCCTCGAGTGGCCATCCAGGCCAACACTTGAGACTTTGGGTCACCTCCAGCCCCTCCTCCTTGCTGGGGCCCAGCTCTCACACTCACCTGGCGAGTCCTCTCTCCACTCGCCGCGATGGTTGGGGGAGGAGTTCCCGTAACCCTTTTCACATGCTGTGGCTACAGCACCCAGCGCTATACTGTCGCTGCCTGGCTGTGGCTCTTGCCCATTGCACTGAGCCTCAAGACGGAAGACGTTGTCGGAACCCCAGGTTTGGTGCAGAGTGGAGACGCTTAGTAAACGTCGAGTAGGTCAATCAATTCGTATGGCCTCCTGGGTTCCAAGCACGGAGAGCGAAGAGGAGTAGCAGAGAGAGACCCAGTCCTCAAAAGGGTGCGAACAAGACTGCAATGGAGGCCCTCTCAGCTCTGCCTCCCCTGTCCCTGCTTAGTTCTTGAAGTTTCTACAATGACGTCCTTGTAGATTCTTCACTTACTCGTTCAACAAATATCTATTGGAAGGATCTAAAGCGAGGGCTTCACATGTGGCCTGCAGACATGTTTTATTTAGCCGAACAGTATTTTTAGTATATCTTAAAAATTTGAATTCCTTTGGGTGAGGCATGCACTCTCCCGCTCCCCATAGCGTCTTGCCTGCCTGCTACCCACACACAAACACGCACACGCACACTGCTGTGTTATGCCCAACCACTCCTCAGATTTACTTTACCCATCTGGCCTCTGATTTACTGACTGCTCAAGAGATACAGTAGTGGATAAAATATATATCCCTATACTCGTGAAGCTTGGACTGGTAGGGAAGACGACCGTTAATGCAATAATCCCATAAATATATAATGGTGCGGTCTAAGTACAAGGAACTCTAAGTGTGTATAATGTAGGAGGGACCACTGCACACGCAAGAAGGTCAGAGAAGGTTTTCCCAAGCAAGTGACGATCCAACCCGCTGTCAAAAGGATAAGTAGCTAATTAGACAAAGGGGTTCCTGGGAGGAACCCCTTTGTCTTTGGTTTCTTATATTTTGTTGGTTATACAAATCAAGTAAGGCTTTGGTGAGTTGCCTTTAACTTTTTGGGGCCCTACATCCTGAGTTCTGGCCTCATCTGGAGCCTGCTGAATATTATAATGCTCACTGTCACTTAATTTTATGGGATTAAATGCTAACAACCTGGCCTCCCACACCTCTTGGAATATTCCAAGCAGAAGGAACTGCGTGTTGAAGGTCTTGTGTCATATACAGGGCCTCGCACGTAGTGGGTCCCCAATTCACCCATGAATGCCGAGTCTCCGGATTAGAGCAGAGGCTGGAGCCGAGCCAAAGGGGCTGTCAGGAATTCAGCACACTCCAGCCCTCCCGCACACTCGCCTTTCAACGTGGGGCCCAGATCGGAAGGGCCGCATGCACCTCTCCCATGGTCTTGTCAAACACACCAAGAAGCCAGATGGCTTCCAGGCTTTCTGACCCTGCACACAAGTCTCTAAAGCTGGAGTAGAGAAAGCTCAGGAGAGAATCACCTGGGCTGTGCTCCCACAGGGTTGTGCGTGGTCCAGGCAGAAAAGCAATGGCAACTGCTACTCCTATGTGTCAGTCAAACCCGTTATGCGAATAAAGAGCCCTGGCAGGGACATTGTATGGAACTGGTTTCTCTGAGTGACTGGGGCTTGGGGACAGCATGAGGAGTGGCTTGGAATCCACAGTCTCTGGTTCCAGTCTTGGATCTGGCACAGGCTTTGTCTGTGATTGTACCAGCCAGAACAGGCTGCAAGTGACAGGAATCCAGTCGGAGGGTAATTCATTAGAGTAACTCATTAGAATGATGAACAACTGTTTCAATTAGAGTTCCTTGGTTGCAAGCAACAGAAATTGACCATCTTAAGCAAAAAGTGAATTTATTGGAAGGCGTATTAGTTTCCAGTGGCTGCTGTAACTAATTACCACAAATTTAATGGCTTACCAGGGGTGGGGAACCTGCAGCCTCAAGGCCACATGTGGCCCCCCATATCCCCAAGTGTGGCTCCTCAACTGAATCCAAACTTCATAGAACAAATCCCTTTATTGAAAGGTTCTTAACAGCAGAAATGTATTCTCTTAAAGTTCTGGAGACCAGAAATCCAAAATCGAGGTGTCGGCAGGGCCACAGTCCTTCTAGAGGGTCTCGGGGAGCATCCTCTCCTTGCTTCTTCCAGATTCTGGGGGCTGCCAGCACTCCTTGGCCTTCTTGGCATGTGGCTGCCTCACTCCAGTCCCTGCTTCTGGTATCACATCACCTTCTGTGTGTGTGTCAAATCTCCCAATGCCTGTGTCTCATAAGCACACTTGTAAGGACATTTCCTAAGACCCATCTAATTTTGCACCACCCAAACAGGGGGAATTAGTTTTGTTTTGATAAGAGTCATTACCCTGCAAGATCTATAGTACAGGCACTGATCTCTGCAGCCTCCCCAAAGATATTTCCACTGTTGATTTTTGTATTTTGAAACAGTTGTTTAAGTGGCTTCTATTGGCCTTTTGTTAATATAGCATAATGGCCCTTACTCCGTGCGTGCATCAGGGAGCCAATGTGGGGATCTTTTCCAACTATCACTCAGAAACTGGAGATAGAGGTTGGCTTTGGAATCCCACTAGGCCTCCAATGATGTGGACAAAAGTCAAAACACTATTTTTCACGATAGGTTGGCCTACAGTGGTGCTCTCGAACCCGAGAAATTGGCATCAGCTCAAAGTCTTCATCCAGGGTTCCTTGAAAGGTTCAGGCATTTCCCTTTCTCCAGCGTCCAGTTACTCTGGTAAGTGGCCACAGGTCCTTTTAGAAGGCACAGGAAATATCTGTATTACGCTCATGTAGTAGTATAGCAGAAGCCTTCCTCAAGGGTGAGTAGCATATGCTTCCATCAAAGGGACTTAGATCAACACACTAACTCAAGCCTAGTGTTGGGTGATGATCTGTAACTACCACAGTGGCTCAAGTCAGGACTTTTTTCTGCCAGAGCTAGAGCGTGTTTTTGGATTTCTTTTGGTTTCTTATATTTTGTTGGTTATACAAATCAAGTAAGGCTTTGGTGAGTTGCCTTTGGTGAGTTGCCTTTTTGGGGCCCTACATCCTGAGTTCTGGCCTCATCTGGAGCCTGCTGAATATTATAATGCTCACTGTCACTTAATTTTATGGGATTAAATGCTAACAACCTGGCCTCCCACACCTCTGCATACTTCTTCCTCTCGGAAATCAGGGAACCTGTTTCAAATGGCAGCCCCTGCACCCGGCAGCATTCCTGATCTAGACTTTCCTCAAAGCAAGGATAAAGTGTGAGAGCCATAGTTAGAGGTATTTGTGGGAAGGAGGCCCAAAATAGACCCAATCCAGTATCCTGTCTTCAGAAATCTTTAAATCCCTTCCCCTACAAGGGACTTGGGGCCTTTAAGTTCCATTTCACATGGGCCAGCATTTGGTCCAGGTTTGCATTAGCCAACTCATCAAATTGTTAGAGCCCAGCCAGCTCCTGGAGCAGCACAGAGAATGCCAAATCCCTGCTAAGTGACTTCATATCAGGAAGATCAGCCTGGTCCAAATTACATTTCCCCTTCCTTGATCAAGCGCCACAAAAATACATTCCCACAAATATTCCCCAAATTTTGGATGGTGTCAATTAACACATTTCTGCAATTCTGCAGGTGTCCAAGATTCTTTCCTGCACAGTCTACTTTTCACCCTCTTGGCCAGACTGATCCCTGCTTTCCAGCTGAGCAGCCTGGAGGGGTGGGGCAAGCAGGGAGTGTGAGGAAGGGTGTGAGCTGTTTGCACCCAGTGTTTTAGAGAGCTTTGATGTTCTCCCACATCCTCTCATATGACCATTCCACTTGTCATAATCCCACACCCTATCAATGCCTAACTTTGTAAGAGTGAAGCAGGGCTGTGAATTCAACAACCTGCATAACTGGGTACGAACTCTGGTATTTGGAGAACTCAGCCCTACTGCAAATCATGAGATCCATTGGTCATAGAAATGCTGTACATGTCATTCTGCGCCCAAAAAGGAGGAGGGGGGATTGATATTTGGGCTTGCTTTGTTGACTCTCCCTGTACATTATTCTATGCAGCTGACACAAAACATTTTATCACACAGCCTGGGCATTCCTCACTTCCTTACAATCAAACGGCGACAGATGCTACCCCTTCTCTGACAGCCTCATCCTCGGTGGTCTGCACATGTTCGGTACAGACACAATTGTTTCCTAACATTTTTGACCCATGGTTGGTCGAATCCATGGATGCAGCACCCATCTATAGGTGGGGCAGACTGTATTGTCCTGATGGCTATAGCTGAGGACTATTTCATGAAGGCATAATTTTGAAAAACATAAATCTGATCATGCCAGTTCCTTGCTTAAAACTCTCTGATGGCTCTCCATCAGAAGTGACACCCAAATCCCTTCCCACGGACCACAAGGCCCTGCACACACTTGCCTTCACTCACCCTGTGTGTTGTCTTGCATTAGTGACTCAAAACTCACGAGCATTGCTGCCACTGATGATGTGATTTTTTCCAAAATAAAGAACAACTCTTGGTAAAGGCCCGAACAAAACAACTACAGGCATCTATTTCTACATAGTTCATTCTTAGAAAATCAACTGTAAAATCCTGTACAAAGTACTGTTGACATGTAAATGAAATTTAGTTTAGTATCAGATACTTATAAACAAGTTTTTCATGAAAAATAAATATCCAGTGAAACATCTGAATGTTGTATAGGACACATGAGAAATTTTTGTCGCACAGGACTGCCCCTGCATAAATTGCAGAACATCTAGTAAACCTGCCCCTGCCCATTAAATGCTAGTGGAGCCCCTCAATCCTTGTCACAGCAACCCCTCTCCCCCCACATCTCCAAAACACCTCCTAGCTGGCAGTACCGAACACTGTGAGAATCACAGATTTATAGAAAGGGCGTAGCTCGGAGTTTCTGAGGAAAAAAAAATTGGAGTATTTAATCTGAAAGGCTCTGCATTGTGTCTGGCATATAACAAGTGCTGCATAAATGTAAATTTATTTTATCCCTCCTTCTTGCCACCTTCTGGCCATAGATTTTCACTCCGACCAACAGGGAACATCTGTCATCAACCCTGGCAAGGGTTAGAAAGGTACACTAAGTATTTCAGGGAGTGAAGTGAGTAAATTAGGTAACAAGAAACACACACAGCAGCCCACTCCCAGAAAAGCTGGCAGAGGCCGGGCACCTTGGCTCACACCTGTAATCCTAGCACTCTGGGAGGCTGAGGCGGGTGGATCATTTGAGCTCAGGAGTTTGAGACCAGCCTGATCAAGAGCGAGACCACATCTCTACCAAAAATAGAAAAAATTAGCTGGGCGTGGTGGCACATGCCTGTAGTCCCAGCTACTCGGGAGGCTGAGGCAGGAGGATCACTTGAGCCCTGGAGATTGAGGTTGCTATGAGCTAGGCTGACGCCACAGCACTCTAGCCTGGGCAACAGAGTAAGACTCTGTCTCAAAAAAAAAAAAGAAAAAAGAAAAAGAAAAGAAAAGCTGGCAGAATTTACATGACAGTTATACAGACTATTGACTGTATTAAAAATTGTAGAGCAACTTGACTCAAGATATCTGCACTTACTTTTCAGTGTAACTCTGTTCCCTCCCTGCTGTGAGGTAAACTATTAAGACTTAGAGAACCCATGGTCAAACCGTAAGATTATTCTGGGTAAAAATGGGACGTACAAGGGCAGGACCCTGCTGTCCCCACCCACCCTGCTCCCCATTGCTGGGCCGTGCCTGGTCTGGCTTCACGCAACAGCAGATAGGGATGAAGGCTTCCAAGGTGCTCTACGTAGACTCTCACACCAGACCCTTTGAACAGGCTGAGACTTTTGTCCGGGATATCTTCTGTCCCTCACTGCCTACACTTTACTGACCTGGCCATTTCTTCCTCATTTTCCAAGTTTCAGGATGTATTACCTCCTCCAGAAGAGCTTTCTTGGATACCGCAGCAGAAATGACTGTCACTCCCTCCTGCATGTGTGCACAGCCTGTGTACTTCCTTGTCTCACAGTATTTCCAATATTGTGTGCTTCTGTGCTTGGCTGACTCCCCAGCTGCTCTGTAAGAACCGTGTCTGGTTCATCTTTAAGTCCCTGACAACGAACTGAGTGCCAGGCACACAGTAGGTGCCCAGCAAAAGTTGACCTACCTCTTCCAGGCATGGGGCCTTAGAATAAACACACCACACAGTCATGTCATGAAGATTGTTCCCAGCACCATTATCCAGGCTATATATGGAGAATCTCATGTTTCAAAAGGGAATAGTCTATGGTCCAAAGGACAGTTTATTTAAAACAGGTGACAAGGTATAAGAGGAGGAAGGAAGGAGAACAATTCTAACATAAAAGCACACAGGAAGCATCTCAAACCTTAAAAAAAAAGAAAAAGGAGGGGGGCAATGGAGGAAGCTATGTCTCATACATATACAAACTGCTGGCCTCAACTGATTATTTACATCCCAATCTTACAAAATAGCATTTCAAGTCAGCGCATAAGCCAGTGCTATTAGTTTTTGTTACAAAAAGTTAAAGCTACAAACTTCACATTTTTAACTGTACATCAGCAACAGTATTTAAGCTTTTGTTTTTTCCAAGTTGGTCCGAGTGCAAGCTGGTGGAAGAGATTCTTTTTCCAAACACAAACAAGAACATGTGTTCCAAAGACAATGAATATAATGATCCTGATGAAAACACAAACACAGTGCTTAAGAAAGGGTGGGGCGGGGTGGAGGTGTGGATTGGGCAGGAACAATTTTCTAGTAAATGAGGAGCTGCAATCTTTAGAGGCAACATGGTATGCTAGAAAGGACACTGGAATAAGAATCAGAAGACCTGGACTTGAATCCTGGCCCTGCTGTATTCTAGGCCACATGACCTTGAGCAACAGTCTTTACCTCTCTGAGCCTCAGTTTCCTCATCTGTAAAGTGAGGACAATAATACCTGTATCTCCCAGAGCTATTAAGTTTCAACAGATAAAGGGCTATTCGGATTATCTCTTTCTTCTTGAGTGAGCTTTGGTACTTTGTATTTTTTAAGGAATTGTCCATTTCATTTATGTTGAAATTTTAAGCATAAAGTTGTTCATAATATTGTTATTAGCTTTTTAATACCCATAGGATCTACAGTGATATCACCTCTCTCATTCCTGATATTGAAAAGAGCTACAGACTTTTAAATGGTATAATAAATTTCTGTTATCTGGTAGGTGCTCAATAAATGTTTCCTAAGGCAATCTGTTATGGCCAGTAGTGGGGGGAAAAAAAAAAAAAAAGAAAGAATGTTTCCTGAATCAAGATCTATAGTCTCAAGGAGTCAAGGCTGCAGTTCTTCAGTTGCTTCACATGAATGGATTTTTTTAAAGACACAATTAGGGCATCACTTCTTCGAAGCAGAGAACAATGGAGAGTCTCAGAGTTCCCCGGAAGCTTGAGGGGAGGCTCAGACAATGACTGAAGCTCAGAGCTCAGTGAAAGCAAGCTGATCTATCTTGAATTCAGTATTCAAGAAAAATATTACTAGGACTTGCTCCTCTGCCTTTTAGTCACTAGAAAACAAACACACCTTGTCAGGAAACTTCTCTGATCTAAGCAAAAGGGCTCTGTCTAGCTAGACTGGCGAGCAACAGACTTTGTTGGACCAGCACATTAGGTGCACGCATGCTTGAAACAAAATAAACTCTGGATCAAGGTTTATGGTCCAAGAATATTTACGGGGAAAAACTGAACTTTCTTTTACTTGGATCTAGCTTAGGGAGGGAGAAAGTGGGCTTTCTCTTCCCTGTCTGGCCAATGGCTAAGTTCTTTGTTTAAAAAAGAAAGAGACTGAGACAGAACTATTAATTAGTACAGCAAATGGCATGAGGGTATGCATGCTTGATGATTTGGTTTTTAAAACTCTAACTTGGCTGTCAGATTTGACTATTAATTCAGCTGTTTTGCAACCTAAAAATGCCCAGTTAGAGTTATTAGTCTATGCAAGAAAAAGTGGTCACTTTATTCTGCCTCAGGAAGGAATCTTTCCCTCCAAACCCATTTCTCCATCTGTGAAATGGAGATGAAGTACGTAACTCACAGGGTTATTGTTAAATTTGGACCCTACCTCGCTCAGTGCTAGGTGTATAATAGGTGGTAAGCAAATAGTAGCTACCCTTTATTATTCCAGCAAGATCCTCAAATTATCCTCTATTTTCTGTATCTGTCACACGACTACTTCAGTGGCCAAGCCCTAAAAACCAACAACTGCCTCTTGTATTTTTTTTAAAACTTGCTTTAATTGCAAAGAACAGAATCTGGCCACAGAAAAGGAACATTCCCTGCCTTTCCATTGATTCCTAGGCTTAGGGAGCAAAAGCAATTATGGAGTCAATTTACAGTGTCCTAAGGTGCAACCCAGTCATGGCTCCCCTAGCTGAGGGAAAGAGATATTAGGAGAAAATAAACAAATATTCATCTTTCCCAAGTGTCACACAACTTTGCTATGTGACTAAATGCCATGTGACCTTGAGCCAAAGTTGCAGGAGGATGGCCTGGTGCTGTCTTTTTGCAAAGCCCTCTGATCTGCTTCAGGTCCTAAATCTGCCTCCATGAGTGCCAGTCTACTATCTGGCAGATGCCACAAGGCTCATGGCTATGCTGGGACCGAATGATCTGGAACCTCTGAGGAAATTCTTCATAGCCAGGTCACTCACTGAAGAGGCAAGAGCAAGTTTCTGTCAGCAGGTTCTCTGGATGACTGGACCAAAACTGACACAGTCTCTTCCCTCAGAGAAGAGACTGCTTGGCTCACTGGCCCAGGACTGAAGACTCTGAGTTCTAGTCCCAGCTCTTACTCGAACTGGCTCTGTGATTTGGGCCACGTCAGTTGCCCTCTCTAAGCCTGTTTTCCTAATCACACAAGAGGGTTAGGCCAGATGATTTCTATGGTCCTTTCCAGCTCTGACACGCTGTGTCTAGACTGAGCCTCCTGGGGAACAAATCTTAGTCTGAGTTTCATTTATCCTTTCCAGACCCTTAGCAGTAAAAGAAAATAGTCACAGGTTTGAATGTGGGTCACAAAAGCAATGCCCTCTACCCCACTCTGTAAGGAATAAGGAGCAAAATGCCACGTGTATGATTTGCACATGAACAATGAGAGTGTCAAAACCCTTTCCCTTTTGTGCACGGAGAACAGCCCCGTGTTTGCTGAGAGCTCCTGGTAGGCCTGTCCCCCCACTGGACATGTCTCCTCTTAAGGCACTGGGCGAGTGCAGATGAATGAAAGGCGCAGAAACAGCAAAGGCCAATTGCAGAGAGGATGCCAGGCTTCTCCTGGGACTCAAAGAGTAAACACGAACTTGAAGCTTGCCCTTGGACATCACCAGCTCCAGAAGCCGGTGGTGACCATACAAGGCTGAACCCATGGTGAAAGGACCTAATTTTTAATTGCAGCCTTGCAAAGGGTGAGGTTGGCTCCTGGGACTCAGTGACTCCCTAACAGCCTCACGGTGTCCTCTGCCCTCATGTTCCACAGTACCATAATCTTATGGAAAAGAGGCAAATTGTTTCAAACTGTACCTGTACAAAGATGCCACCACACTGAGTGGGGAATCTATTTATAATTTATATATATATGCATATTTATATATTTTTAAAAAGTCTTCCAGAAAGAACAATCGAAAGCTATTGGGAGAATAAACACAAAAAGACAATGTAAAACTTTCCCAGCTATCACTCAACTAGGAGTCTCTGGTTCCTGGGGTTTAAAACTCTGAGTTAAAAGCGCCAATATGAATCCTTTGAAGTAATGCACCTGACCAACATAACTACATCACGGCGGCATGCTGGCCATCAAGGTAGCCCTTCCCACTGGCGCATGTTCCTGAGTTCACAAAGGTGCTGTGGAGAAACAACAGAGCAGAAGTGCTGGCTAACAGGCGTGAGGCGTGCGATCCCGAATTCACCAAAGGCCTGGGGGCAGCCCGGCCTGGCCTTGCTTAGAAGTTCTGCTGCCGCCTCTTCTTAGCCTCGATGGCATCCAGGATCGGCTGCCGCTTGGACTGGTACTTCTGCCGGATCTCTTCAATCTCCTGCTCCATCATGGGGTCTAGGGCCAAGAGCCTCTTCTGAAGGTCCTCCACTGTCCAACTCTTAAGCTAGAAGAGAAGTGGAAAGTACAGTCACGACAAAGCCAAGGCTGGGGGCAGCACAGCAGAGAAGCCCGGGCCTCCCAGGCACCCAAAAGGAAGGGAGACAGAGGAGGGCAGTGTGGTTGGACCGCATGTGGGGTGGCAGTGGTTGGAAAGTGACAATTCCTTCTAATGAACAGCACACCTCAAAGCTTTCCTACACAATTTATTCCTGGAAGAGTTCTAAGTGCTAACCTCTGATTTAATGAGCTCTGACCAGAACCTTAATGAATAACACTTTCACCTCCCCTATCTTTTAAATTAATTAAACATAGATTGTTAGGACATTAAAATAACAGTAACTTGCTATATATAAAATAATGGCTGCCTCCCAGTTCTTGTCCTACTCATAAAGGCAAGAGCCTGGACAGTGGCCATCTCTCTTTCAGGACACCACACCACGGAGGATGGATGCTGACTAAGGATCAGATGCTCTCCCCCATCCCCTGCCTTTCCACACCCTCACTGCCTTGGCACTATCATGCTAATCACCACTAACACTTACTGGGGGCTAATTATATGCCAGGCACCACTCTAAGCCTCTTGGGAATACAGACACAACCCATGGTAGAGGTGAGGGGAGGAGGTGGGTAGTTGGAGAAACCCTGAAACTTCTGAGATTAAGTTTCCATCACCCAGAGGAAAAAAGGACTTGATATATAAATTAATACTCATGGCCAGCACTTATATAGTGCTTTCTATGTGCCAGACACTAAGTGCTCTACATACACTGATTCATTTAATCTTCGCAACAACCCTATGATATGAAGACATTATCTCCACATTACCGATGAACAGGCCAAGGAAGAGGGTGGCTAAGTAACCTGTCCCTGGTCTCCTGGCTAGTAAGTGGCAGAGTCAAGACGCAAACTCAGGCAGTGTGGCTCCATGCTCTTAGCCAGTATTACAGAAGAGCAGACTAGCAAAGTTTTAGAACTAAACTTATGTTTAAAACATGGCTCTGCCTGTTAAATGTCATGAGATTCTGGTAAGTTATTTTACCAATCTCTCCAGGCCTTCCGCATCTATAGAAAGGGGGCAGCAGTGCTGCATCACGTGTATTATAAGAATCAAAGGAGACCGTGCTGTGGGGATCTTAGCATGGTGCCTGGTGCAGTGTGGACTTAAGGATGGCAGTGGGTATCATAGCCTCTCTCTTCACTAAAGCCCAGGAGTGCCCCCGTGTCCAACCTGTGTCTGTAGCTGTGGGGCAAGTGGCTCTGCTGCCGCACGTGTAGATCCCAAGCACGGCCGGTCTTGGCTGGTGGGGTGGGAATGAATGCTGACATTATCCACATCGGGTGGGCGAAACTTCAACCGGTCTAATAGGTACAGTGTTTCAAGAACTCAAAGGCTCCCCCCCAAGTCTTACAAGTGGTCTGCTGTGCCCATATTTAGAAAATCACCATCCGCAGCCCCTCCCGAGGCCTCAACAGGAAAGTGGTACAGAAGGTGGGTGAAGGAACCTCTTTCTGTCCACCCCTTCTTTTGGGGATAGGGTGTGAAGTGCTACAGTGGCTTCCCAAGAAATGGTTTAGTGACCTGTCACCACAGGAATTTTCCTTGGCCTGCTTCCGAGAGCTTGTCTGAGAAGTGAAAAAGCCTAATAGTTCAAGATGAAAGGTTCTTTGTAATGTGAGAATGGAAAGACTTGAGAATGTGGGGAAATGCTGGAAAGTTGGGCTAAAAAAAATGTACCTTTCTTGCCAGGCTGTGGTTTTATACCACCTTAGAGGTTGGTGTTCTTGGCCCAGGGACACCCCAAAGAGCGCTCAGCTTGCCTAGTCTTTAGCATTTCAATTCCTTTTCCAAAGAGAGAACTCCCAAACCTAATACTGAATGTTACTGGTAGGTAAGAACTTAATCTTTGGGATCTCAGATCCTAAATCTGTACTGGCTGTGTACCACTTGAACAGTAACTTTACCGCTTGAGCTTCAGTTTTCTCCTCTGGAAAACAGACAATAGTAGTTCCTCCACTCCTGGGCTGTACTGAGGCTTAGATGAGACAACGGGTGTGATGTTCTGAGCTCAGAACTTCGTTTAGTAATGTGTTGGGCAGATTCATGTAAGCATTCCATAAATGGTAGTTACCACTCTTGCTATTGTTGCTGTTATTCATGTCATTGTTATTGTTGACATTATTGATAAGTCCCTAATCTTCCATAAACAAGCTGCTCTTATAACCTTTGATTCAAGCTAGAATCAAGCAAATAAAAAAGAAAATATTCTACTTGATTTCATGCTAGCAATGCCCAAAGGCTGGCGCTTCCCACAAAGCCCATTAACTTATATACAGATTAACAAAATATTTTTCATCCATTTATTTATCAAATATTCATTGAACACCTACTATGGGTCAGGCACTGTTTGAGACACAAAAGATACTTCAGTGAAAAAAACGAAACAAAAATCATTGCCCTTGTGAAGCTTATATTTTAGTGAGGCCAGGAAAATAACAATAAACACAGTAAATTAGTAAATTATTCTTATATTAGAAGGTGCTTTGGGGAGGGGGAAGGAAAAACAGAGTGAAGGCAGGGGAGCTAACAATTGAGAGGGCAGACTTGCTTTTCATTCACCCATTAGGATGAAAAGTAAACTAAGTTACTGGAATTGCAACAGCTTTCTAACTCATCTGCAACTTTGGGCAAGCCCCTTCTCCCTACTTAGACCTCAACTTCCCCATGTGTAAGAGAGGGCTGACTGGATGATTTTAGAGGGTTTTCCAGACTCGATGTTTCTCGGTGTAGGATCTATGGATCACTACATCAGAATCACTTATTACAAACACAAGACTCCTGAGCCCCCACCAGAAGATACTCAGACTCCCTGGAGGCGAGGCATAGGACTCAAAGCAGCTATTCAGGTATTTCTTATAAATCTCAAATTTGAAAAGTATGATCCTACATCTTCCTTCTTGTTTATCTGTTAGTAAAATTCTCACAAAAGTAACTGCTGTCTGTCTCTGGTCCAAGGCTTCTTCCAGGGTTCCAATTTCTAGGCAGCTTTGCTGTCCTTGATTCTAATCCAGGGGCAACATTTGCCCTTGCTTTATCTCAGCCACCTTCAGACTAATTTACGGTTTCCATAAGGCCTTTGGGGCTTAAGTTACACCTGACCTATTAGAACACAGCCAGCAAGGCACTGCTGATGACTCGGTCACACCATCCAGATATGGATTTTTGTGAAAATCAAGCTCAGACGATGGTTTTATGGCGCCAAGTATAGCATTTCACCTTCCTGGTCCTTGGTAGCATAAATAAGTTTCAAATGGTATCTTGCAGTAAACTGTGGTTCTACAGTTTTGCAACAGCCAGTATCCCAAAGAAGCAAATTCTCAAACTAGCCATGCAGATAGCTTGAGCTATGTTCACTAGGCAAGGGAAATATCACCATTTAGTATCTCATCTATCCCCTAGGATTAAATGTCCTCTCTACACCGAGAGTCCCACATTTATATCTCTAGCCCAGAATTCTCTGAACTCCAGATTCATACATCCAAGTCAGATGCTACTAGATCATCTCAGCCCCTGATTATCTCATGGAATCTGCAACTTAACACAGCCAAAGCAAAACTCTTGAGCCCCATCTCTCCCTCAGCCCCAAACGTCTTCGCATCTTAGGAATGCACCAGTGCCACCATCCTTCCAGGTGCTCAGAATCACCCCGACCCTTCCCTTTCCTTCACCAGCAGTCCTATCGATCTTATCTCTGAAATACTGGCACCACTCAAACCCAACCACTTTTTTTCCACCTCCATCTACCTCATTCCAGGCCACCATCAACTCACAGCAACAAACATAATTAAAAATACACAAATGAATCCAATCACATCACCCTATGCTTCCAACTGCACTTAGAATCAAATCCAACTCACCAGAGACTACCAGAGCCAGCCCCCAGCCCCCTCCAACTTCATGGCCTACAGCTGTCCACTGTGCTGGGGACCCTCCAGCCACACTTTATTTCAGACCCTCAAACAAGCCACACGTTTTCTGGCCTCAGTGATCTAAGGAGTTAACGATCCTTTCGCCTTCATAGCTCAGGCCCAGTTCTTCCTTATTCTTTAGGTGTCAGCTCATATGACAACTCCTTGGAGGATGCAAGCCTTTTCTGACAATCTTATCCAGAAAGGTTGCCTCTTCTCCATTACTATCTCAGTCCCTTATTTATTTCCTTCCCCCCAAATCGTGCACCTTATAATTATTTTTACCTATTATTTTTACCTTCTTTTACTTGTCATCTCTCTTACTAGAAAATAAATTCTATCGTGGAGTGACCTTGTCTCTCTTGTTCACTCTGCTAATCATAATACTGGTTGAAGAAATGAATAAATTGCCCTTCATTTCTAGTCAAGTAATAATGAAAGCCACAGAAACCAATGGAGCGAGTTCACACTGAGCAGCACCATGTGCAACAGGGTAGGTGCTGAGAGGACCCGGTATAGAACAGGAAGTAAGTTCTGCTCTCAAGGGACCTTTAAACTTAAAGGTGATTCCCACCAACATTCTTTTGAAATCAAAAGAAACCTCTGCTCACCTAATGAAAATGTCTTTTCTTTCTTGAGAGACAAGTTCTCACTCTTACTCTGTTGCTCCAGCTAGAGTTCAGTGGATTATAGCTCACTGCAACCTCAAGCTCCTGGGCTCAAGCGATCTCAGCCTTTCAAGTAGCTGGCACTACAGGCGTGCACCACCATGCTCAGCTCATTGTTTGTAAAGATGGGGTATCGCTCTTGCTCAGGCTGGTCTCAAACTTCTGGCCTCAAACAATCCTCCCACCTCAGCTTTCCAAAGTACTAGGATTACAGGTGCTGCGCCAGGCTTGTTTCATGCTGACTGATAAGAAGCAGATCTCTAGTCCTGGGTCAGTCATCTCTAAAGGCATGCCCATTTTAATTTTTTTTTTTTTTTGAGACACAGTCTCACTTTGTTGCCCAGGCCAGAGTGAGTGCCGTGGTGTTAGC